TGAGATAGACATCTCTCATACATTCATGTTCTAGTCTTTCCACCACTGTTGTATCTGTATTGCAATGTGTATGTGTATCTGCATGTGTTGGAGGCATTCCCCTTCATCCACCTAGCTATACGTTGGCGTCTTCCAGGAACTCCAGCTTGCTTGTGTAGAGTGTCTGAGGATATATTGTATGTATCGCTCTGGTGAGAATATATGAATCTGAACAACATTTGAGTCTTATCCTTTCACCCAAACCTGAACTCTCGTCAGTTTGTACAAAATTTTGTTTTCAAAACTTTAAAGAAAGAATGAAAGAGAAATAATGCATCACACGAATGCAGTCTCCAGCATCAGCAGCAGCAGACGGCGCGTGTGACGGTGGTAGGAATGGAGGCGAGAGCGCAGCGCCACGTCGGCTACTCAAATCTTCATGAATCACCAATAAGCTGACTGCCCCCCCTCTTTTCCCGGATCTCTCTCTTTCGACCCCTCTGGCGCGCGTCGTAGTTTGAACGCCGCCGTGCTCTCACTGTTATCCACCGTTATCCTGTCCATTTCAATAAGCATCTCCCCGTCACACTGTAAAGCAAAATAGTGACGCAGAAGAGAAAGGGAGAGGGAGAGAGAAAGGGGGGGGGGGGGGGGAGAAGCAGAACTCATGATCCGCACTCTGCCACCTCCCTCGGATGCTGCTAGCAGAGATAATTATACCGAAATTGGTCTATGCGCGCGTCACATTTCTCGAACTCCACTCTCACTCGTCGCCTCATTTGGCCGGAGGAGATTTAGAGAGGGGGTGGGATAGGTTGTTAACCTCGTCCTTCCGTCCTTCCACTTATGGCCCACGAACCCCACCTCTACCCCGAAGGGATCCTCTCTAATTTTCATCCAACCCCCCTTTTCCCTATACCCCCCGAGTTGAGGAAAAGGCGGGGAAAGGGGAAAAAATTGAGTAACGCCCGTGGTTTTATGAAAACTACTCAGATTTCGAAGAAAGTCTCCACAGAAAATTT